AGTCTCAATTGATAACAATAATAAGAGATTTTAAATAAGTTATTCCATTAATTGGAATTACGCTACAGATGAGAAAATCATATAGGTATATGTAAATGCAGTTTTTGTGATAAACTCTTTTTTAACAATTATCAATATATCAAGTTACTAATTGAAATAATAAAACAAAACTATGATATGTTAATTAAGTTACTGTTATTTCTAAATAATTTAAAACAATCAATATACAATTTATTTAATATCTAGACAATTTTCAATATCAGAAATTACTCACGTGCAAGGTTCTTTAAGTTCATCTTCAGTGCCTGGAAATTCATTAGGAATCATGCGATAATTGCTACATGCATATCCTAAATTCTCGATACAGGTTTGATTTACACTGAATGCACCTTAAAAATAAATAAAAAAATGTAATACCAAGTTTGAAACGAAGTATAAAATTGTTTCTTATTAGTCAATGAAAATAAAATACTACTACAAGTTGTTTAATTTATTAGAACTGTTTGGATCATTAAATATATGTAATGTTTTGCGTAAACAGGAGACTATATGAAGACATACAACATTTTGAGAATGTTTTATGTCATTTAAGTCTTTGTCTCTCAGTGTGTTCGCAATCTATCAAAAATTGTGCAATGATAAAATAAATAAATTATACATTTCTTTTTATCAAATTATAAACATGATCCTTATTTCAATTACTTAATCACTTGAAAAAAGAAAAACTTAATGTATATCTGAAAACACAAATATCGCATTTGCCATTAGTGCTGAAATTATTACATAAAATATTACGCATATACAATATTATGCAAAATACAGCGCATTAACTTATCCTGTATTTTAATCAATGACTTTGAACAGAAAATTGGCATTCAAACTTATAGCTAATTTCGTGTCTGGGTCAAGTTTCAAATTGTCTTGGTTAAGTTTCTTGTCTTTGTTATGCAGAAAATTATATATTTGGTTCATGTTTACAGATTGATTTATATCATTAATATGTTTTTTTAAAGAAAATATACAACTTTGCTAATTTCGAACTTTTCTTTGCTAATAACAAACTTTGTTAATTTCTGTCTTGGTCAAGTAGAAAGTTCAAGTTGTCTTGATCAAGATTTTTGTGTTTGTTATGTAGAAAATTAGATATTTGTTTTATGTTTACAGATAGATTTATATCATTAATATCTTTTTTTAAGAAAATATAGAATTTTTATAAAATATGAAGCATCTTGTATAGTAGCTTCATTCATAACTCTTTTAAGGCAAAGAATATATATTAATCTGTTTATTAGACTGAGGATGTTTATTTAGACTTTACGTAGATAGTTTTTGTTCCTAAATTTAGAACAATCTGTGAAAAATGTATTTTTTTTTAAGTAATCAAATTAACAAACTTATAAAATTATCCTTTTTCTTTTCTTTCGTTTTTACAAAACTATAATTAATTGAATGAAATATAAAAAAGATTATAGGTAAAAAATTGTTTTTAATATTTGGGTAGTATTCTATATATAAGAATGCAAACGTACATATTTATATAGCAAGTGCATCATTTATTACCGAAGCTTTATTTCTTATAGAAAATAAAAAATCAATCAGTGATTAAGAGCAACTAATAAACGGATAAATTCAGAAAATAAAACACAAATTTATTAGATTCTATAAATAAAACATTGCTAGCAATGATATTAAAATTATTTAAGAAATATAGTTCTATGATCAAGTGTAACTACATATTAAGAATTTTTCTCCATGTCTTATATGATCACTCCATATTGTATGCATTACATTATTTCAAAAGTTACAACTGATTTAGTTAAAAATATACGCTTTTAAATCTGCATACATAAATTCGTATATATATATAATAAATATTCCTCATTTGTAGGTATTATTTATTATTTTTTTACATCAAAATCATAGAAAAAAAAGAAACTAAATATATTTTGCTATAGAATGTATCACTAAAATTTATAAATAATTAATTACTTTTTAAAAATTTAATTTCTAAGAAACACAACATATTAAAAGAATAACAATATATATTACTATTTTCAAATTTATATTAATATTTGTATAAAACAATTAATATTTATAAATAATGGGCTTAAAATATATTTTCTTGCATTTTTAAGCCAAAAAGTTTTACCGTTCCAAAATCCAAAAACAATAAGAACAAAGTACCACATTCTTTATTTGTTTCGAGAGTTCTATTAAGATGAGATCAATCTTAGCGGAATGAAATAATTTTTACTGTATTTTTTTCGAAACGGATGTGCTATTTTAATGAGAGCTTAATTAAGAATCGGAAATCCTGTTCTTAGAAATATCTCCAAGTTTTTTATGCAATTTTTTTATGCTTTCACATGTTTAACTGAATATTTTCCGGTTGTTTCATATTTTCTTTAATGAGAATTAAAAGGGAAACCTTTACTTACTTTATTTAGCAATAATTAAGTGAAAAAATTAGTTAATTGAAAAGCATTGCTTGCCATTAAGAATATACAACTAAGAGGAATAAGATGCATGAAGTCAATTTTGTTTATAATATCCCAACCTTAACCTGGAAGTTATAGAAATCACAGTTCCGTTCGACTTGCAGAACTTGAACTTTAATAATTTGTTACAGCCACTATGAGTAAAAACCTCTTTCTCGCTAGGAGTTCATTTGTTAAAGTTAATTTGTATGCAGTCTTTCAGAAATCGTCAACAAGACATGAATAGGCAACTTATTTGTGAATGGGTAAGTAGTGACAATAATGAATTCCTATGTATATTGCAGTGTTGTAGGACATTGTCAAAGGCCACGTATGAGTTTTTGGTCACGACTTTGAAGCTGACTTGAAGATTAAAATAAAATAGAACAAAAAGCTCCATAATTTCAAAATTTTGATATACTGTGAATTAGAAATAAAAAATGAAAATGAAAAATAAATTGTCTAAGGCCACGTATGACTTTTTGCTGCCTAGTTGAAATCTGACTTCAATATGAAGATAAAAGAGATCAACAATCTTCGTAATTTCAAAATGTTAATTGCATGTCGATTGCATTGTTTAATAAAAAACGATTTCAAAACACATCTGGAAGAGTATTGAGATAATATGTTCTAACTGGAAGAGACCTAACCGCTAAACCTACTGAATACTTATTTGATGTATAGATACAAAAGGCCTCAAAGACAATAAAAACAAAGACCACAATAAAACAAAAACATTAAAAAAATGGGAAATGAGAATTTTTTAAAAATTTCACTAAAAAAAAAAGCAATTAAATCTAAATTCCTTAGGTACAGTTAATTACATAATTCTTGTCATGCTCCTCGGAAGAATTAATTATGCAGTAAACCTATGTAATTGTACAAAGCTTATATAATGATTAAAATAATTAAATTAAATTTATTGTTTTGAAAAAATATTTATTGCAATTATATAAACGAAATTTAAATATACTTGACTAGATAAACGCTATCTCTTTATGGTGGCACATTCTTAGCAATTGTGCAGATCTTGGAATAGTTTTAGTTGTGTAAACATCTTGAAATAGTTTATTATTCAGGTTCTTACTACGCTATTAACTTTAGCTTCCTACCCAATCAGATTCTTAGATTGTAGAACGGATGGTGTTTGAATCTCCTTAGATCATCTTTCTACAGCCGCTGCTTTCAGAAACGATTTAAATAATTCAAACGATTCATATAAAGAGTCTCGCATTATATGGTGGGATTTTTTCGAGTTTTCTCTATACGACATACATAATACCTGAAAAAACTTTGCGGGAAAGCTATGGACTTCCTTTATAATCAATCAGTCTCCTGCTTGCGGTATAAATATGTCGTGATTAGCTATATTGTACAAGTAAATATAAATAACTAAATGAAGTGCTGGTAACAACTAAGTAATGGGTTGAATTTAAAATTATCACACAAAACAGATTTCGACATCAATAGTTCTCAAACTTTTCCTAATCTGGGAGCCATCAAATCATCAATGGATGGCTGATATATCGTCATACAAAGGTAAAGAGATCAGTACTAGTTAGTGAGCAAAATTGCTCAGCATTGCATATGGCAACCATTCAACAAGTGTCGTGTTTCGTAGCCAAGCACTTTCACAAATATGTCCTATTCTCCTGGCGTACTGATTTCTATATCACATTGAAAGCTTCCCATCGTTTGCACTACCATAAGCCATTAGAAGTCAGGGGTGGCGTAATAGCACAAAAAATTAGGGCATTCAGCGAACGTAATGTGAGAAATATAATAAATATTAAAATGCAAGTCTCTATTAAAGATATTCTGTGCGAGTTCATATAATGGCTACAAAAATTCATCTGAACAACTTTATACGTGGAAGAATGATGGCTGGATGGAGGGCGGGCGTAGTGTGACAAGGATAGCTGAAGTGTTTCGAATCGATAACAGTGTCTTTCCACCTCTCGAACCTTAAAAACAGCTTTTAGAAAAATTGCTTTGATCGGCCAAGAAAACAAATTGTGAATGGATGGCCAATATTTCGACAAACAGGTGAAAAGAGATCAATACTAGTCAGTGAGCGAAATTGCTCAGCAGTTGCATACAGTATCAGCTTGACAAGTGTCGGGCTTCGTAGCCTACGTGAATGTGTCCTATTCTCCTAGCGTACTGAACTCCGTATCACATTGACAGCTTCCTATCTGTTGCATCGTTCACTTTTGATGTAAGGAACACAAATACTCCGTTCCTCATTATTGGGGTCACGTTTCTTTATACATAAGAGGCCTTTGAATGTCAAGGATAATCTGAGCCTGGTTGATATGGAGAGAGGACGTGACAAGATTTTTATCCTACTAGCATCAGAGAAAGGAATTACTATTATGATAGTGATGTGCTCGTCTGTGGAGGTGTTATAATCAACGAACGGTTTAGTTTGATTTGTAGCCTACAGTCATCTTGAGCATCCGAGGGCTATACAGAACGGGACCTACAGTTTAAAATGGATTACTATCCACTAGCATATATCTATGCCCCTGCCAGGATTCGAACCTGAAGCCTGTGACACGAAAGGCCATAGGCTAGCCACTTGGCTACCAGGCTCATGAACGGGCGGATCCGAATTTCCGAAAAAACTCTGTTATTGGAGATCACATTTGCCACCTATGATCTTCCTCTAGGTGCGTTTATACCGAGTCGCCATTGAAGGAAACTTCGTTTTTTTTACTACTACTACTATTAAACCACACCACATCACATCACTGTGCTTAGAGCTGAATTTTCCTCTTTACAGTTTAGAATGATGTGGGTGAGAATTTGATTGGGCTATATGACGCTTTACGGTCATATGAGACCGGACCTACGGCGTAAAGTGAATTCCGAACAACTACAAATATCCACGCCAGCACCGGGATACGAAACCAAAATCTAGGGTACGAAGCTCCGAAGCGCTATCCACTTGACCATTATGCCCCAACTTCATTTTTATAGAAGACTAATTGTCTATCGCAGTTTTCTTGGTAAATCTCATTCTCTAATGCATAAACAGCTTCATATATATATATATGAAACATGAAAAATATGAAAAAAAACATGAAAACAAACATGAAAAAAATAATTGTTTACTAATTTTGGGACGCTGAATACAAAAGTAACAGTACAATTTAGTAATTGGCCTCTTAGGAGATATAGAAGCAGTAGTTTCCCACAGTTTTCTTGAAATATATGTGAAAATGAAAATATGGAAATTTATATAATATAACATAGAAATATAATAATTTGTACATTATAAAACAACGTTTATAAAAAAAGATGTGTTGAAATATATATTCATATATTGAATATATTTGAATATACACATTTTGAAATGCGTAAATATTTTACATACATGCACAAGTTTTAGAAAAGTGGTTCCCAATGTATTGTTTATTTAAATTTATATAACTATTATCGAGAAAACATTTCTCGGTAATTAATCTGGAGAGGATTTCAATCTAGTTTCGGCACTAATATTTACTTTGTCTTTAAAAATAAAAATGTGATAGTTGTTAGTTGTTTGTATGAGGAAGAAATAGGGTTTGTGTGATGAAGAAATAATCGCAGTGAATTTGTGGTTTAGCTAAATATATTATATTTTTTTTAACTGTGATGCTGCATAAGGGCCAGTTAAAATAGTTGTAACAGCAACTTTCCGTCTGAAGAATTTGATGTTCACCATTTTAATTAATTTTCTCTTACAATATTGTTTGGTTAATTTATTAATAACAAACAATTAATTTATAAACTGTTAAATTTCATTAATTTTCTTTTATTAGATTTTTCTGCATTTGCTGCTAAATGGGGATAAAGGCTTTTAATACCTAGACAACTTTCTACCACATATCTCGATTGAGGTGACTCAGAAACTTTAGTCCTAACAACGTCGAGAAAGCCCCCCCTCTCATAGACACCCACTTATGGTTATCAAATTTCGGACTTCCATTGTAAAATTCTTTGCTTATGCAAAGAATTTTACGTCAACCTAAGTACGTCAACCAAGTACGGCAACCTAAAGGAATTGGCAATATACTTCGTGTAGCAAAATTGAAAACATTTTCAGAAATATAGTGGTTTTTGGATTAAACGGGACATTTTTATTGATAAAATGTTAGCCCCAATTGTTTTTTATTGATTTTAGGTGGTAACAATTCAGCGGATACGTTTATTCAATTCCTTCTATTAGCTCACACTCTCACTATATATATCTTGTTCAAATTTTCAATCGTTCATAAAATACTTTTTATTCATTCACTCAAGTTTACTGAATTCAAAGCCATTATTGAAGATTTCTAATGAAACCTGCCCTAAAATAGTAGCTCCTATATTTTTCTAAAATTACATCTCAGATGTTGTCACCACATGCCATGTCAAAATGAAGCTATTTCTATCTATATTTTTATTTCTATCTTTTTGATCAGAAGATCTCTCAGCGGAATTTGCATATTTCCAATTCCACAAGAAACTGTTCGTATATCAGAAAAATTTGCAGTGTTAAGCATCTCAATACCGGCATATCGAATGTTATCATTACGCTTTTTCAATTCCTTTTATTAGTTCACACTCTCCCTATACAAATTTTCTAATAATTTTTTCTCCTAATACAAATTTTCAATCATCAATAAAATACTTTTTATTCCTCCACTCAAGTTCGAATACATTTTTTTTAACTTATAGTGGATGACACTGGATGTTAATACAGTTTCTTCAAATATTAATTCCGTAATTAAATTTAATTAATTAATATTAGTTTTTAATAGATTTAAATTGCATATATCTACCAATAGATGGCGCCAGATAAACTTAGAAAAAATTATTGAAAATTATTTATAAAAGTCTTTCTGTAATATAGTGAAAAAATAGTAGGAATCCCTTTAAAATTTTTTTTTTTTTTGTGTAACTTGTTATACTTTTATTTATTTTAGGTCATCCTGTGTATGAACGGTACAAGAACATCAACTATCAAAAATTCGCCAACTACGAAAAGTAGCCAATTTGGCGTTAAGACCTAATTTGACCATTTCTTAACGAATTTATATCCATTTTCGAATTTTTCTCCAGTTGATCTAGGCTCTGTATCAGAAATATCTCCGTCAATTTTGGTAAAATTTACATGCCAATTAGGCGATTTTAGGCGAACACACACACAAAAGAAACCTTTGTGAAATTTATAAAGATAATATTTATTTAACCAGCAATGTTTCTATAATTTTGCCACAGAAGCCTTGTGGATAGTATGTTGAGTTTATATTGAGAACCAATTTGAAGAAACCATTTAAGAATTGATTAATTTTAAATGTGGAATTTTATATTAAGATAATAAATAAAAAGCCATAGTCCAACAACAATTATTAGACAAATTTAAATTATAAGATAATGTAAGATGTATATTATTTCTACTATAAACGTTGTAGTTTCTCTCTGAATCTTTGTAAATAACCTTGGGTAGAAAGGTTTTATCATGTGTGAACATGGTGTTGTCTGGTTAGGGATTAAGAATCAATTTAAGAATCGATTAATTTTAAATGGGGAATGTTATATTAAGATAATAAATAAAAAGTCATAATCCAACAACAGGAATTTCATATTTGATGCTCAATTTTATTTGTACGTTTTAGAATTGATATTTTACACAACATCGTTTTATTAAAAGATTTTCAAAGAGTTATAGGATTGAGAATTATGAAAATAGCACATTAATTAAAAAAAACCGGAAAACAATAAATTGAGGACATCGTTCACATAAATGTCTTCTTGCATTTCCGTTACCAAGATTTCTAGAATTTCTTCGATTTCTACATGCAAACTTGCTGGGCAGTCATCTCTCAAAAACCCTGTCCTATCCATTACCTCAATTGCTGCGTCTTTGGCCTCATTTCCACAAGTGTTGGAAACTTGAGCGAGAAAGCAGTTGACTTTGAGAGCAGTATATCTACACATAAAAGCATTTGTTATTTATGAATTCAATAATACATAAAAGTTTCTACCAAATCAAATCTATATCAACTTATTGATACTAAAAATGTTTTTTTTATTAAATCAGTAATCTTATCTGTAATAAATGAATTTCTTTTGATAACCTAGAAATTTTAGCAACTTTTCAATATTACAAGAAATTATATAAAGATATATTCAAAATGCTACTATTGCGTACTTAATTAATTTATTTGTGGTTAAAAATGTCATTTAGCAAAAAAATTAGAAGTTAGAATGACATTTTTCGTACTGTAACACAAGATATGAATATTACATTTTGCACCAAATGCAACATTTTCTCCACGAGAAAAGATAAAACATTCCTGTTCCCAGAGGATATATTTACTGAATAACTTGAAGAGCATGAAGAATTACCAACTTCAGTTTATACGTAATATTAAATGTAATTTTTAATTGAACCTTTTTCTGCCTGAAAACAACAAAGCATACTTACAGACAATCCTTAAGTGTATAAAATTCTACTATTTTCCTTGAAGATTTTTTTACCCTCCAAATGGTCTTTCAGTGTGCTCATACTGTTTCTTACAACACTACCGCAAAACTCACCATCATGCCTAATTACTTCTTTTAAACAAGCCATATTGTTAGCAATTTCTGTAAAATAAGTTATTATACTTCATTTAATAAGGACGAGAATACAAAATAATTTATAAATTGAAATACATTGTATTATTTCATAAAATCTTTTGTTTTAATGTTAATTTTCTTTCCAAAACTGCCATTGAAAAAAAACCCCATTGAAATAACATTATCATCATTAGTTCATATTCTTCTTCTCCGTACATGTTTCGGAAAATCATAGATTTGACATAGTATCTCAAAATGAACTTTTATATGATATTTAAAATGGTTATCTTTTTAAGATGCATTTATGTATCAGTTTGAAGTAATTACTTCTTTAACTTAGAATCTAGAGATTCATAATAATTAATAAGACGCTGCCACACTCCAGCCATTATAATCTGTTATTTGGCTTAAGATGTATTGTTGATAAAGATGTAGAGTTGGTGGCTATTTTCTACTAAATTTTTCATTTTTCAAATTCTTTCCACTTTTCGAGATACTCTGAAGATCGAAGATGCCTTCTCATCAGGGAGAAATCTGATAATGTATTGGACCAGCGTAGCATTTCACAAGTTTAAATACAACCAGAAGAAATGATTATCATGTCAATTACATCCTGTTGAAATATGTGTGCATTACATCCAGTCGAAATATGTTTTTATCTAATTGAAGTGTAAGTACAGATGTAGCAAAGGGACTACAAAACCAAGTATATATAAAATATTGTCGATATATAACTGTGATCCATAAGACATCCATTCGATTCGATCTACAAGCTTTTTTCAATTCCTAATATAGTTCACACTCTCCCTATATATATCTTGTTCAAATTTTCAATCGTTAATAAAATACTTTTAATTCATTCATTCAAGTTCAAATACATTTTTTTTAACTTGCAGTGGATGACACTTGATGTTAATACAGTGTTTTCAAATATAAACTCATTAAATAAATTTAATTAATTTATTTTATTTTTTAAATTTAAGTTGCATGTATCTAATAATAG